GGTTAAGAGGGACTAGAGCCCTGAGTCCATACCTGCCATCCTGGCATAACTGTTACTGTGTCCCCTACACCTCTTTTTAGGCTACACTCTGAGTCCGTATTGTCGCTGAGTGCTGTCAAGCAAGTCTGACTCATACAGGCCCTCAGGACAGAGAACTGCCCTATAAGGTTTCCTAGGCTGGAATCTTTATGAGAAGAGATTGCCAGATCATTTTTCCCTGCAGAGCCGCTGGTGAGTTTAAACTGCAAACCTTTTGGTTAACAGCCAAATGCTTAACCACTGCATCACAAGAGTCCTTTTCTAGACTGCCAGAAGAACAAACAAATCTGTGTTGGAAGAAGCACAGCCAGATGTTCCTTGGAAGCCAGGATGATCAGACTTCATCTTTCACACTTTGGACATATTACCAGGAGATACCAGTTCCTGGAGGAGGACATCATGCTTGATCACCGAAAAAAGAGCCAGACTGCCAATAAGATGGACTGGCACAGTGGCAGCAGCAATGATTGTGAGGATGGCGCATGACCGGGCAGTGTTTCGTCCTGTTGTTCATGGGGTTGTTATAAGTCAGTACTGACTCGATGGCACCTAACAACAAGTCCCCAGAACCCCCTGATTATATACCAAGCTACTTCCAGGGCATGAACAGGTTCCTCTCAGCTCTGTCCTCCCAAGTGGAGACTTTGTCGCCAGAGGCTGGTGACCAAGCATGTGGTCAGAGACTGGATATGCAGCCTGAGGCGTTCACACAGTGCGGAGGAACTATACCAGGGATGGGAAGAGAGGGAGGCAGATCCTGGGCCGGGGCAGCTTCTCCCAGTTACATTCCAGCTCAGAACTCTGGGAAGTCTGACAATTCTAAATTCCAACTGATCTTCCAGGTCATTATGAAGGTAGGAGGATAGCACTAATTTTATATAAACACATTAGCTTTTATACATTACATGGAGCTCCATGTGTTTTCTTCCATGGGACCCTGCAAAGTTACAGGTGGTCTTGGTGCTTAAAATGTAAACTCAGAGCCCTGTTTCTCCAGTCATCAGTTATGTGCGCCTCTTGATCTCTCTGTGTCTTCATTTCCCCATCTGTAAACCAGAGATAATAATAGTGCCTTCTAAAGGTAGAACCCCCACTGAATAGTTCTCATCTTGTCTAGACGGGTCTGGTGAAAAGAGATGGGGATAAGATTCTTATGATTCAATAGTGAGTAATTATTATCATGACTAATTGTGATGGTCACAACTGTAAAGGTAGAAGTTTTGTAACATAAAGGGGGTTGAAATTAATCTTACAATCCAGGAACAGAGGATCTTACAACCATCAAGGGAGAAGAGTACAAGCAGAATGTGGGACCCTAACCAGAGAAGCAGTGACACCAGAGATGGAGGCAAAGATGTGGAGAGAGAGAGCAGCTGAGGACTCGAGACTCATGGAAAGAAAAAGGCTGTGTGCTGGCAGCCAGGAGGCAGGCTTGCAGAATGTGCCCTTTGGTTGTATAAGTGATTATATATTCCTGAGTGTTTTTGTGTATATCCCAAAACAAAAACAAAAATGAAATAGAAGCAAACACTGTTGAATGATGATGCATGGAGGAGATTGTAATCATTGCAATGAACTGATGAGTGTAAAACCAATGTTCTCCCATGTAAACTATCACTCAATTCACAATAAAAACTTTAAAAATGTAACAGTGCCCTCCCCACGGAGTTGTTGTGAAGACTGTATGAACTAACGCATAAGAAGTATCTGGGGCTGCACCTTGTTGTGTTGTGAAGTGTGTCGTGTTGGTTCCAGCTCATTAAGATCCTACATAGGGTTTCCGAGGAGCAGCTGGTGAGTTTGAACTGCAAGGTCAGCATTTCACACTGACCTTATGGGCTCCCGAGTAGCACCTACTACATAATAAAAACCAAATGCCATTGAGTCTACTCTGACTCACGGCGACCCCATATGCGTCAGAACACAACTAAGCTCCAGTGGGTACATTAATAAAAACACATAGCACAGAATTTTCACAAACCCACTGCCGTGCAGGCCTTCCCAACTCAGAGCAACCCTAGAGGACAGAGCTGAACTGCTCCTTAGGGATTCGGAGACTCAATCTTTACAGGAGCAAACAGCCTCATCTTTCTCCCTTGGAACCACTGATGGGCTTGAACCACTGACCTTGCTGTTAGCAGCCCAACACTTATCCACCCAATGCTTAACTCACTGTGCCACCAGAGCTACATAGTAAATACTCCACTATTGTAATTCTACATATAAAACTGAGTGGTCACTCTAGACTCGTAGGTAAGACCCCAGCCAAGTTGTGTGTATTCTTTCCCACTCCTTTCTAATCTTAAATATGCTTTTTGCCACTCTAGACCATAATAAGTTCTATTCTGAAAAGGCTACGTCATCAAATAGCTGACTGCCTGCTACACATTCTTCTGAACTAAATACGTGTTTCCTCTTCTAGCCCAACTCAGTAGACAACTCAGGCCTGCGACCAGTTGAAGTCTGCATCAATTCATAGTATACACATTTAAAAACACCACTGATTTGGGTAAAAAGGACATTTCCTAATATTCATATTCATGAGGTTCAGAGCTATATAAGCCAGGGTAGGTTTTTCTGGATTCACAAACTAAATCTACTGGCTACTTGAAGCTACAAGCAAAGACTAGAAGACAAGCTGGGAGCATGGTGGCTCTGTAGAATACAAACTGGACTGTAAACCACAAGGTTGGCAATTCAAGCCCATCCTTGAGAGAAAGATAAGGCTTTCTGCTTCCATAAAGATGTACTGCCTCAGAAACCCTATATAGGATCACTAGGAGTCAGAATCAACTCAAAGGCACTTAACAACAAGGAGACTAGAAAACCTAAAGCCGTCAATGGAGAATGGAGAGAAACAATCTTTTAGGCAGCTAGTTACTAATTTACATGTTTTTATTATTAAATGAAGGTGTACTATTAATACTATTAACGATCTATTGACAACCTCCCCCATTTCTGTTCTTTCAGCCAAAAATGACAGAACAAACATCTCAGAAGAAAAATACCTGCTCTGCTTTCATGCTATGCAGGTAGTTTTTCATAAGGCACTTCTTGTATTAGCTCCCCACAACTCCCTCTGTCCAGTCTCTAGCTGTTTGCTATGGATTGAAGGTCTAAAACCCATGGAAGAAAAGTACAAGGGGAAAAAAATCAATGTCTCATTTACCCCTTTAAAATACATATGTAACCTTCATGCTCAATATAGTGAAAATTCTAGCATTCAATTTTTCACAATCATTCTGAAGAATTGTTAAACTGCCCTAGACAATTTCCCAAGCTACATCTAATTAAGAAACTGAGCAAGCTGAAAGCACTGTTAATCTCAACAATAGCTTTTCTATTAACGCAAAGCTTCTCCAAACCCAAAATGGAACATGAAGGCTGGTCGGAAATAAATGCCAGAACCTTGCTTAATTGGATCGTATTGGCGGCAAGACTGAGCACATCCTTCCACTCAAACGTAATCCCACGTAAATCAGATGAATTGTTTCTTTAGAGTTTCAATAAATCCGTCTAAAAATCCTATGAACATTTCCTATTTCTGACAGTTTCTGTTTATGCAGCTTCCTTTTTTTCTCCCTCTCTTTCTCTCTAAGAGCTGGGCTAGAGAAACAATATATTTTTACAAGCCTATCATTCACACAGTCAAGCTTCATTATATCAAAATCATTCATCAGGAGTCTATAATGAGAATGCGATTTCCTGTGTGGTGAGAATGCTCAAGAAACTATGTATTCACAATAGACCATATAAGTCTGTGGTCTTCCAACCATAAGGTCGGTGGTTCAAGCACCCCAGCTGCTCCATAGGAGAAGGATGATGCCTTCTTACACCCCAAAAGATCTACAGCCTTCGACACCCTCTAGCTATGAGTCTTAACAGGCAGCACTGAACAAGAACAACACAGGCCACAAAAGGTGTGAAACAGAGAAATAATCCCTTTAATATGGAAAACCAGGGACCGTCAGTGTGTGCATCTGGCTTTTGTTTTCTGCCAAAGAGCATGACAAACCTAGCTTTAACGTAAGAAGTCAAATCTTTAATTATTAATCACCTTGCACGCATCCAACCCTTTCCAATTTCCACTTCCTTAAGTGCAGTCCAACACTTCATTTGGAATTGCTGTTATTAAAGATCCCTTGGGAGACCATTTGGGCTTCTGGCCACTTTTGTAGCGTATGTTTGTTACTAGGTATCTCAGTCTCACTCCACACATAGCCGTCAGTCAGACTAGTGTCTATCCGGGCCCCTGGCCTGTGAAAAGTCAAGATGTCGCGACCGACTGAGGCGTTTGGAACACAGCCTGGAGCTGGCCAACCCTCGCGCATCCCGCAAGCACCTTTTTTCCACCAGGCTGCCCCAGGCTCCCGTTCCGTGTCCATCATTGAGGGAAAGTGGACTGGGGAAGTTAAAAAAAAAAAAAAGCCAGCTGCTTTCAACAAAGCTCAACAGTATGGCTTTGGTAGAGCAAGGACGAATTACGGCGACACGCGTCGGGGCAAGCTGGGAAAAAGAGGCGCATATCCCACTATTGTAAAGGAAACTGAAGGAACCAAGGAGGCCTTTGAGATTCCCCTTAACCTCTTCCCTTGTTTAGGCGTCTTCCAGGTCACCTCTCTCCCCGTTTCCCACCAAACTCGGGCTGCCGGGATTCCAGCAATGAATGTAATTTCCCAGACAGCTGCTGAGGCGCAGCGGGGGTAAGCCACCTCCTAGTCTAGCTCCTTTATGCAGACGGGGTTGAAAAACGCCCGGGGCTCGGAGAAGAGCGGTGCGCATAGCACGATCCGTCCCTCCCCACGGCCATCAAGGAGCCCAAAGCTCCCCGAGCTGAGCTCAGGCAGGCGCGCACCAAGCGCTGCGCCCTAGCGCCCGAAGTCAGCCCGGGGAGAGAGCTTGGTCCCTGCGGCCCAGGATTGAGTCTCCGGGAGCTGGGAGGGCAGAACGGGACTCCATACCTCGCAGCCATATAGCTGCCCCAGCTGCTCCACGATCCACTCCTCCAGCACCAGCCGCTTGCGCAGCTCTTTCCGGTCGTATTTCACCGTGACTTTTCCCTGCTGGTGGCGCCGCTGCTGCAGTTGCTGCTGCTGGAGCTGCCCGCCCGCCGCCGCTGGGGCCACGGGCGCCGGGTCCTCCCGGGAGGAGCCCGCGCCGCGGCTAGAGTCCGGGCTACCGCCAGCGCCGCCTCGGGGGCTCTGGAAGAAGACTCGCGCGCCGCCGCCGCTCCCGG